AAGAACTTAAAACTTGTATACTATTAAAATATGGGTTATTAGCTAACATTTTATGCTATACTAATTGGTATAACATAAATAAGAAGTAATTTAATAAAATTTTGAATGTACATCACTAAAACCTAAAACATAATTGTTTAGTGCTAGTATAAGTAGTTGTTGTTAAGGTGTGTGTGTGTGTGTGTATATGTATATACACACATATACATATTTTTAAACTTATACTTAGCATGGCAGTGCTATATTCCATTTGTAAAATTATCATAGGCAAAAAAAGATTAATAATTTTTTAAAATGTGATACTTTGTTACATCACAGGTAATGTTTACTGGTCGTTGTACTAACAGTATACCAATATAAAACGTGATGTTGAGATGATTCAAAGCTAATGATAACTTGCATACTTGAAACCATTTGTGCATATTGCAAGTTTCCACAGTTACTTAAGTTGTCTATGTTTTGATTAATTTCATTTATGCAACAAAACTTTTAGAATTATTTTGTCTGTAAATGATTGATTTTTTTTATCTTTGCACAAAGCTACATGAGAGTTATCAGTGCTAGCCATCCTTAACTTTAAAGTGATGGATTAGAGGAAAATCAGCTAGTCAGAGCCACTCATTGCTAACTCTTGGGCTACTTGATCTGTTATAATACATCCATGGCCTCAAAGTGTGGAATGCAATTATTTTGGGGGAGGGGTTGTAACAAGATTCAAATGTCAGATACTTAGAGTAGTATGCTAACCATTGAGCCATGCTCTCAGACAGTTGCCTAACAAGATGTTAATTTTGTTTTAGTTATATATATCATGATGTTGTTAGCATACATTAATATTTAATTGAATTTATATGAACATATTAAAGAATAGTGTGGAGTAATAAATATGGTATTTTAGAAAAGTTTTAAAAATTAGGTAGCATTTTTACAACTGTCGTCATTTGGCCAACTAGTATAAAATAATTTTGTTTTAGAGTTGACTAAAAACATGCTCAGCCCTGAGTATGAGGATAATCAAAAATTTGTATGGTAATTTTAACATGGTAAGGTAAAAAGTGGCACAAATCAGTGTCACATAAATTGAATTTGACATGAAATCTAATTAGATTGTATATTTATAAATGAAAAAAGTAATCTAAGTGTGGTGAAATTTCATTGTTTTAGTAAGTCTGTTGTGTAGGGTGTACTTAAAGGTGACATTGAAATAATGAAAAATAAATGTTGTATACACAGTGTTGAATCTTTTACCTTCTGAATTGATTATTGTACTGTTTATATGTAACAAGGTATGTGTAAAGACCATGTAGATATATGAAGAAATTACATAGTCATGAGATCTTTGCAGTGTAGTAAAAACCGAAAATGCCATATAAGTACAAAAAAAAACACTATTCACAACAAGTATAATGCATATTTCTTCTCCACCCAGCAGAGCGTTCACAGTCTAGAGAAAGCTTTAGAAAAATTTATACAGCCTGAACTCCTTCAGAATGACAATGCTTACAAGTGTCCAAAGTGCAATATGAAAGTTTCAGCACAGAAAAGATTCACTGTCCATAGAGCTCCTAATGTAGCAACATTTCAGTTTAAACGGTATTGTGTTTTCAGGATTTTTTTCCAATGTATTTTTTACTAGTTAATATTCTTTGGTAATTTGTGAAATTAACCCCTGGGATATTTAGTATTTACTTTTCAAAGGTCAGTTTTATTTTTTCTTCAAGTTACTGGCTTTTTTGGTTTTGCCTTTTTTTTGTAGACAGTTGACTTTTCTTTATAGTACAATCTTTTTTTGCATTTCATAATATATTTTTTTAAGCAATTTATGGATACTTTACAAGTATTGAAACTTGTATTTACCATAGGAGTCAAACAATCTTCCTTAAAAGTTGATTCAATTATAATACATGTTAATTGTCCATAAAGATCATGTTGACCACAAAAAAAAAGCAATCTTGATCACACAGAGGTCAAAAACTAGGATTTGTTTTCCCATTTAAAAATTCTCTCAAATTATGGGTTTTTTGCTGTAGTTCTGAAAAGTCAAGCTGTCATTTAGATCAGTTGAACATGTTTTTAAAGTCTTTGCTCACTAATCTACCTTATAATTTAAGTTTTTACTTTATCATTATAATTTCATAGTGATTTTCAGAAATTTGTCAATTTTTTATTGTAGTTATTTTTAATCAATTAAATGAATTATAAAATAAAATATCAAGAAAAATTAACATCATTGAAAAAGGATTTTACTTTAGCAAATTAGAATATTGAAAATATAGATTTTATGTTTGTGTGTTTGTATATGTATATAAAAAAAAAATTTAATTATTTTTTAAAGATTTGACTACAATCGAATGTTGGGAGGCAAAATAACCAAACATGTAACATATCCTGAAAAACTGAACTTGCGACCATACATGTCAGACACAAAAGTAAGTTTTCAGTTATTGTATATTTAAATATCATGTGAAAAGTATTCAATGAAAATTAAGAGTTTAAAAATTACGTTACCCAAAAGAGTTAAAGAATTATCAAAGAAAGAATTTATCTTTTTGTTATGATGAAGCACAATTACTGCTATTAGATTATGTCCACGGTACCCAAGTTAATTTTTATGCAAAACAAGTGTCAGGTGACTGAATATGTGATTTGATATGCACATTGTAATTCCATAGAAAAAATGAATGAAACAAGTGTTTTCATTTAGCAGTTCTGAACAACTTGTGTATAAAGATATCCAGATTGATAGCAAAACATGCTAAAACTACAACAGAGACACTTGGACATTACCTTGATTTGTTGAGAACACACAGACAGATCGCACACACACTTCATGATGTAGCCACATGAGACATATGCATTTAGAGAATCACCAAGACCACATCAAATACCAATTTTACTGAGAAAAGACGTGTATAGGGCACTGGTGATGTATTCGGGTATTTTTGGTCTCAGTAACCTTTATTTGAAGCAATAGTTGTATTGATAATTGTTAATGTTATTAGTACTAAATGACTAAGGTGGTCAGTTTAATCATTTCTCAACTGGATAGATTAAGAATGAAGAAAAACTCTTTCATCTATCAGGGTATTCCAATGGTCTATGGGTTGAATGCTGTTCTTGTTCATATGGGGAGTAGCTGTAACTCTGGCCATTACTTCTGTTATGTCAGAAACTCTAATGGATTGTGGTATATAATGGATGATGCACGAGTAAGTGTTTTTATTTTATCCAGACATTAGCTTGTGAGAAGTCACATTTAATAAATATATTTGATATTGAATTTGAAAATAATGATCTAATAATATAACCTTGATATACACAGTTCTTAAGGCTAACACCTTGTTTTTTGTGTTTATGTATACTTGAATAAAGTATAGAATTAAAGTTAACTCAATCTATTAGAAAAGTCAGTAATTCTCTTTAAATGGGTATAATGTTCACAGTTCTATATGTTACAATGTAAATAGAAATTTATATTAAGTCTGACACAGAGTTAATGTGCTAAAGTTTTGTAATATTTTATTTTTATAGGTGCAGCAAGTTAGTCTGAACCAGGTGCTTAATCAACAAGCCTATGTCTTGTTTTATGTCAAAACATCATTCAGGGAAGTCAAGGTATAAAGTTTCTTGAAATACACTTGTAAAGAGTTTTATTAAAATAGTTAGTTATTTTGAGGTCTGAACTTCTTTCATTTTTGTGTTAATTAGATTTATATTCCTTATTTTAGCTAACAGAATTAATATTATCAAGTGTTTTTTTTACTAATACTTGTTTGTCCAGATTTTAAGGTTGTCTCTCATCATTATTAAGAAATAGTGGGTTTTGTAATATAGGTAAGAATTATTTTATTTAGTATATTTTGTTGTTTTATATAACATGATTTTTTTCTGCTCTCTTATCTCTTTAGAAACCTCATTCAGCTTGTTTGTTAAATCATAAGGTTTCTACAAATGTGAAACACTCACCACAACGTAAGTATAAAATCCACTTAGAAAGAGTAAATGTTTAAAGGTAATTTAAGAAGTAAATATTTGAGTTACATATTATGCTGTTTCCAAAATATTTCTGATAGATGTCAGTTTTAGTGTGTAGGTCTGGTTATTCATGTAACTTACTTTGTATTATTTTTTAATTGGTTTCTTAGATTGTTTATTTTCTTTTTGAAATACTTGTATAATTTCAAAAATAAGTACAAGGATAATTTAAAGAAAATAAATAACAAGGATATAAATAATGTATATTTATATTAGTTTTTTAAATATACCAGATGTTTTATTGCATAGTTTTGAACACACTGGGCTAGTGCATGACATCATTAGACCTATAAATGTATTTGTTGTTATTTGTGTGTATTTTTTGGAATGAAATAGATAAAAAACAAATAAAATAGTTATACAAAGGTGTAAAAAATGGCATAAATAATGAATGCCAACTTCTTTTTATGGAACAGTTACATATTCAATTAATTATTTTATGAAATATGGTGATCTAAATGGAGAAATGCCAATGAACCTCGAGTTACAATCTGTGTAGTCTGTGCATCATGCATGT